GGTGATGGCCCCTCCCTTCCATTGGGTGTATGCCTCCCTTTCAGCTAGAAGACATTCCCGGATGCTTTTTGTGAGCCATGCAGGCTTTTGTGCCCTCCTGCCCCCTTTGATCTGTCTTGGGATTACCTCCCTTCGGGCTTGGAGGATCGTCTCCTTAAGGAGCAACCACTCTTCTTGGACACCTGGCTTCCCTCCCCTCCCCTCCCCTCCCCTTCTGGACCTCAGTGCTTCCCCGACTATTCTCCTTAGCTCATTGAAGTCCGCCCTCCTGAAATCTTGCAGAAATGTGCCACTTGAAATGCACTGGATTCCCATAAAGCACTGCAGCACTTTATATTTCCAACTGAAATAGTTGAGACTAGCTGTCCGAGTAACTTTATTTCAGTAGATCTTTGTTTGACCCTTTGAGAAGTTGACAGATTAAGAGCTGAGTGCTAGTTTCATATTTTCAAAATGCATATAGTACCTTTTCATGAGTAGCAGAATCAGATGGGCCTGCAGCCACTTCTACCATTATACTCTCCCCAGTCTGAAAGAAAGAGGGAAAAGCGTAAGCTAGCATGTCAATTGTCAGGTCTGGAATAATTTAAGAACGCACACAAATGTACTCTGTTGGGTGCACTCTGCTCTTTAAGCAGTTTGGATTGTAGATAGACTTTACCTACCTTTGTCAGGAAAGGCGTGATAAATACAAAGAACACATCATATATAAAAAGAACCATCAGGAGTAAGGTGCAGCCCTGGGGAAAAGACAAGAGCTTCAGTGGATATTGTATATACTATACGTTAGCTGGTGAAGATTAATTTGTAGTTAGCAGTATAAGAATAGTGCATCAAACACTTTCAAGAACTATTCAATCCACTCAGTTATTTCTCTTAAGTCAACACTGCACAAATATATCACAAAGAAAGATCAGTCCCGCTGTACACAGCATATTAAGGAAGTGATCTTCATATACAAAATTATACAGTACTTGCAGAAAGATGCCAATAAATATGCTTGTTTTGTGAAGTTTAAATACACTGCAACTTTGATTCTTTAGGAACTGTGTATGAAAGGCAGTAGAAATTCCTTGAGACAGCAACACTACTCAGACCACACTGTACTGTGACACTGATGGTAGTTCTGCACAAAGTAAAAACGCCCATCTTCCTAATCCTGTGAGAAATGTTGCTAATCGCAACTACTTTTAATGAGAGAAAGTTCAGCTTGAACCAGAATGATCATGTAGACACAACATATAAAAGAATTTGTGCATTACCCTTAGATATGAGAATGAAAGGCAGGCTGTAGGACAGTAAGCTGTAAGGCAGTCTTTATGGAATGCAGGCACTCTTCTGGAGGGTTCGAGATAAGCAAAGCACACTGCATTCTCCCTGCCTGTTTGTGCATTCCAAACAATGTGAAGACTGTCGGCATTTAAAAAGTACAATGTACACATCATGAAGGGAACGTGCATAATTGGTACATGATTTTCAGAGACAAATTGAAGCTTTGGTACTGAAGCTCTCAAACATTTTAAGGATTGGATTAGATGTACGGAAGAACTGTGAAATTTAGAATTACAAATTGTCTTTTCTTTTCTCTCTCAGAAGTTATGGGTAATATTCAGAGGTCTAAAGGAATATTGTGGCAACAAAGGAAAGGGCAGTAGATTGTACATAAAAATTCAATACATTTTTATGTCTATCTAGAAAAATAATCCAACTCAGCTGATCAGACTAGAAAGACATCATGGCTAGACTTGGTCAAGGGTTTTATTTGTTTGGCTCTAGGAACCTAAGAACTAAAGGAAACTAAAAAGTGAGATCTATCTATCTATTGAAACTGAAGAAAGAGGAAGTTGTTAGTAATTGTTATAACACAGAAGAGAAGGAATTGTAGAAAACCAATAAAGGAAGCAAAAGGATAGTAAAAGTTAATTCTAAGAATATTGATAACTTGTAATGAATTATGTGACCTAACAATTTTTTTTCACTACTACATTATAAATATGCAATTATACTAAATCCCTTGTAATTAATTTTTCCACAAGTTTCTGCAGGTACACAGAATCATAGATAATAGAGTCACCAAGTTAGAAGGGACCTCACTTCCCTAAATAAATACAGGAATATTATTCCTATTCAATGCTTATCCAGCCTCCTCTTAAAAACCCCTCCAGTAAAGGAGATTCTAAAGCTGCCCTGGCAGTAGTGTAACTGGGCATAAGTGTGATCTGGGTACCAGCTGCAGGTGTCAAGTTGGGGGGCTGCTGCAAAAAAAGCATCTTCTTGTGCCGGTCTCCTAACCATTGCCAGCAGACCAGCAATGGCCCAAAATGCAGAATTGCCCAGTTATGCCTCTGTTCCCTGGGCAGTCTATTCTACTGCGTTACTGTTCTAACAGT